GTCCGTTGTGTAAACTGTAGTTCAATGCCTTGTAAGTAGCCTTCAAATACGGGTGGTCCGAACAGTTGTGTAAGTTGTTGTTCAACTACTTGTAGGATGCCTTCAAATATTGGTGGTCCAAATATTGGTGGTCCGAACACTCTGTGTAGTCTAAGCTGTTGCTCAATACTTTTCAAGTAGCTTTCAAATATGGGGTGGTCCGACCAGCTTTGAAATTAACATGGTACTTGCAAGAAGCCTTCAAATACGGGGTGGTCAGACCAACTTTGAAATTGACATGGTACATGTACTTGCAAGAAGCCTTCAGATATGGGTGGCCCCAACAGCTTTGAAATTTGTTGATTTTTGTGCTCCCAGGGATTGCAAAGTCGTTGACTATTTGAGAGCTACTGCTCCCCTCACGGGGGTAAATGGCACGGGCATTGTTCGAGAGATGAACTAGCGCTTCGCCCTGTGTTTTGCACAACGCGTGCACAGTAGTAGCCGTGGCAACGTTGTTTCAACTTGGTGATCGAATTTTCGGGTTGTAAAGGGTTGTGGGGGAGCACAAGTCCTAAATTGATTATCGATGTCTCCAGATTTTGGGGGTTCGACGTAAGGATACATAATCCTTGTGTGCTTGAAATCTCTCTTGGGGCATTTGTCCTTCTGTGTCCTCTCTCTAACCGTGCCAGTGGACCCACGCGCGACAACCAACTCTAGGTTATCGAAGACACGGATGACATCGGGTGGCACTGGGACAAGGATTACGGCATGGAGGCTCGTGGGATAAACGTGCACCCGTGTCTGGCAACGGTCACCTACCTTTCAACGAACGGAGGCCCGACAGTAGTCTTGGAGAAGAAGGTGACTTCTTGCTTGTTGTTGTTGTTGTTACTACTGTGGTAGTGGTCATTGTCGTTGGTGGTGGCTGTGTTTTGTTTTTTGTCCCTCTGGCTGTTGGTGGTTAGGGTTAGGGTTAGGGTTAGGGTTAGTTGTAGTCAATGTAGTCAATGTTAGTTGTAGACGTTAGTTGACGTTTCTTGGCTTCCACAACCCGCCCGCGCACATGACCAGGCCCGAAATTACACGACGCATGAGAACCTTCACCAGCTCAACCAACGTGAACTGCGTCGCTGCTCGTGTCACCCCCACCCCCCCCGCTTCGGTACTTCCACAGGGGCCAATGGCTTGCGAAGATGTGGACGAGGTCTCAGGGGAGGCCGCAAAGGCGTGGGTGAGTCGCCCGGCGCTGGGCAAGCACATCTGCTTCGACGGCCGCTACCTGCACGCCGCTCCCGCAGACCTAGCGCTGCCACCTCCGACTCCCTGTCTCGACGAAACAGCGCCGCCGTCAGTCGAGGGCAGTACAAGTAGCAGCGGTGGTGGTGGTGGTGCGAGCGAGGGGGGGCTTCGGGGTGGTGATGGGGGGGGGGGTTCCAAGAAGCGGGACAAGGACGGCAAGTCGAAGGTGGTTCTCCCTGGCAGCTCTATCCACGGCAAGGGCGGCAGCAGCAACACCACCGCCAGGAGAAGGCGTGTCACTTTCCTGGTGAACGTGTGGCTCAACCATACACCAAGGACCGCCGCGCCACTCCCGGCGCCGACAGCCGCAGAGCTCGGGCCCTCCAAGCTGGCGCTGAGGCTATCGCCCGCCGACTTCGTCCCGCCGACTCCTCTCCTCGTAGATGAAACGGCGGCACCGACCGGCTCTAACGATGATGGTGCCATGCCTGGGCAGGGACGGAGAACGGTGGCGACGAAACAAAGGAGATTCGGTCCGGCCAATTCTGAACCTGAACGGCAGGAAGCTAGTGTTGCGACCGGGTCGGTGGCGGCAAGGGAGGGAGAGGAGACCGCGGCGTCGGCGGCGGCGGCTGTGGATATGAAGTGGGAGTTTGGAGAGGTCGGGAATGAGGCAGAGAAGCACCTTCGCCATGAAGTGCTCGTGCCGGTCCCCATCGCCTTGCTACAACTTCCGTCCCCTGTCTGCTCGGAAGGTCCCGCCGCTGGTTGTGCTTCAAAGGATGAAAGGACAGCCGGCAGTGGAGATGACGAGAGGGTCGGCAGGAGCTTCTGCGTGGCGTACCGAGGAACCAGGCGGCCGCGGATTTCTCGCGTGGATCTTGGAGAAGAAGGGTCGGAGGATTCGGGTAGTACTGGAGAGGAGAGCGAAGAGGAGGAGGAGGAGGAGGAGGAGGAGGAGGAAGAGGAGGAGGAGGAGGAGGAGAAGGTATGAAAATCAGGATGGCGATGGAGCAAAAGTAGAGGCGTGATCGCTATATAGAGTACGGCACCTTATGAACTTGTTGGTGGGAAACCGGTAGTATTACTCGTTCCTTTGGCCACCGCCCCCTGTTGTGCATTGGGCGAGTCGACCGTTTCGTCTCGTGCACGCTGCTATTCGTTGCGGACACAACGCGTCGTGTGATTGCGAGATGAGAGTACCGTGTTGTTTTTTGGGGGTCCGCCCTCTCCTACACCAAGGTGTGGCGGCTAGTGGCCATTGCCGGGCCCCATGGGTATTCTGCCGCCCGATTTTCTGTGTATGCATATGGAGGTTGAGACTCGCGCGGAATCTTCGGGCGAAAGATTGACCCTACACGTCTCGTAGGAAGCAAGTAGGGAATTTTGCTGGCAGGGTGTCTTTATTTCTTCATATTGGTTCCGTGTCCATGTAATTGCCGACGCTTGCAAGGTGTGCAACATGCGCCAACAAATGTCGCCACCCATGAGAACCTCATATTTTACCCGAAGCTTGGTCGTTTATCATGTCGTGTGTGGGAGGGACTAGGGTAAAGTAGGGTTCAACTCGTGTTTTCGAAAGGGTGGAACTGTTCGTACGTTCCTGTACTATGGAGACGTTGAGTGGTGGCCCGGTCGGTGGTACGGTAGTGTGGATAGCTCGGGGTCCTTCGGTTCACACACAATACACTTTTGTTTCGTTCACAGATCTGCGTTTTTGCTGATTTTCGGTTTGCTTGGTAGTAAATTTATCTCATATCCTTGTGAACCAACAGGAGTCTAGTCAATGATAGCCGAGGGTTTCCAAAATGTGAAGAGAACACAACAACAGGAACGGGCGACCGCTTGGGTTTCAATGTTTGTTCGCGTTCCAGACAAATGTATCGTGTCACATGGTGTGGCTCGGAGGGCATTGACGTTGTACTGGACGTACATTCGTGCCCGGCTAATCATGGCCGGGTCGGTCATGGCACAGCAAACAAGTGGGCACCTTGGGGTATGTCTGCAGTCAAAGCGGCGGATGGAAACGATATATCTACTTACCCTGTATGTAACGAGCTTGTGTGCATAGGCCATACTGTACTAGAGGTGTTGGGTTATGCAAACAGTGTACCACAGTATGAGTACGAGCAGTTCCGGTTTTTCTGCCCGCCTACCTCCCTCCGAGAGACGTGCTTTCCAATTTGGCGTAAAACGTAGGTAGGGACAGTTGGCGCCGTAAAGAGACGCTTATTTCAGGTCCAGCCTCGAATTCTTATTGTGGGCTTTAAACTCAGCGTATGTCGTTCAGTTTCTTTTTTCAAGTTTCTTATATTTTCGTGCAGCCAAATCCTGCTGAATTTCTTAAATCGGCAATTTCTTATTTCTCTGCTTGCATACTACACAACGTTCCAAATATTATCCCTAGAAGCGAAATGTATCCAGCGGCAACGTCTCGCTATCGCTACAAGGTCCTGTACCCCCCTCATGAGTGAGGGCTGAAACTAAACAAATGCATAAACACCGCATGATGCCTCACCCGCATGCTGACGTGCCAACAACGAAAACTACCCCGTCATTATGTTGCAAGCACCGTGACGCGAACATTGGGGGTTGTCACCCGTTTGCGCCTCCCGCTCCCTTCCTTTGGGTCTACCTCTAGGAGAACCGACGCCCCAATTGCGGCGTCTTCATCCGTGCTGTACGACTCCAACGGCATCTTCATGCTACGCGTGCTTTCGTCACAGTGCAGGATGACGCGGTAGTCGTACTCCTGCCGCGAAGCGGGGTGAGATCTGCGACTAATTACCCCTCCGAACCAACCCAACCCGAGTTTCACGAGAACCCCACGCTTCACTATCGACTGATCGAGGGCCGGTGGTGGAGACGCCTGGAGTCGAAACCCGTCCGGGATGTCCATCTTCAGCGTTTCTTCTTCAGGCGACAATTCTTCATCGTCGTCGAGCTGGGTCAGCGGGTCCTCATCGTTGTCATCGTCGCCTGACAAGGCACAGCCGAGGCATCGTCTATTGTTGTGGCGATTCCCGAAGCGGGGACAATATTCCAACACTCATTAATGTGTCAACAAGAGGAGCTTTCTTCGGCAAGGGTAATTCTTCTGTGCCTCGAATGAACGCGAAATACAAGATCACTTATCGTCGCTCTCATCATCGCTGGAAGAGGCGTCCTCCGACAGCTGGTCCACGGCAACCTTGCCGCTGTCCCCATCCTCCTTGCCCTCCTCATCAGCGCTGGCGCCACCCTCCACATCCATGAAGGAATATGTGGAAAGGCCCTCGACGTTGATTTTGTCGTCCCCAGAGCCGTCCGTACCAGTTGGGTGGCACNTCGTTGTCATCGTCGCCTGACAAGGCACAGCCGAGGCATCGTCTATTGTTGTGGCGATTCCCGAAGCGGGGACAATATTCCAACACTCATTAATGTGTCAACAAGAGGAGCTTTCTTCGGCAAGGGTAATTCTTCTGTGCCTCGAATGAACGCGAAATACAAGATCACTTATCGTCGCTCTCATCATCGCTGGAAGAGGCGTCCTCCGACAGCTGGTCCACGGCAACCTTGCCGCTGTCCCCATCCTCCTTGCCCTCCTCATCAGCGCTGGCGCCACCCTCCACATCCATGAAGGAATATGTGGAAAGGCCCTCGACGTTGATTTTGTCGTCCCCAGAGCCGTCCGCCGTCATCCCACATCCGGTTTTCTCGAAGAGACGGAACCTATTTTGCTCATCTTTATCGATCTCCTCGGTCGCCTGTGCCACCCAACTGGTAAGCAACACGCGCCGTCCGGAACACGTCAGTGCTTTGGTCTCCCACTTTTGCAGGTTGTCTCCGCTCTCCAGCCACTTGTCCAGCTGCACCCCCACAGGCACCTTCAGTCGCCGTCCATAGCCGGCGTCGATCGGCTGGACCTCGTCCGTACAGCCTGCAGGCAGGTGCCAATGAAGCGTGTTGCACTCCTTGTGGAGATACTTGCGGAATTCCTCAGTCGTCTGCCCGTGCAGATTGTCGGCGAGGAGAAGCGACTGCTCCTCGCGCACCTTCCCGCCTACCATTCGACTCGGGCGAAAAGCGCGCTCCAGCCATTGCATGCAGAAGTCGCTGTCGGCCCAGGCCTTGGGCTGGAAGAAGACATCTACGCGCTTGTATGCTGCCTTCTCCACCTTGGTGATGCCGGTTCCTTTGCCGCGGAAGATGATCGCGCACCTCGTCTTTTTCCCGCCTGCTCCTATCGTCGGTTGCACCGTGCACTGCCGCTTCTCCAAGCCGGGGAATGGCTGGCCAAAATGCACATGCTTCGCCCCTCTTTCGTCCCAGGTGTCTTCCTGTCCGGTCACGAACCCCAACGGTACCTGGTCGGTGTTGCCCCTCAGTTCCTTCACGAAGCGCCCCCACTTGCCGTAGGGTCCTTCGTAGGGGATCAACGCCCCTGGTTGCTCGACGGATCCTCCGTCCGAGACAGGTGCTTGTGGCTCCCGCGGGTCACCTTCCCTCCATGTACACGAGGCTGTTGCAGAAGCTTTCGGAACTCCCAGTGCCAATTCCGGATCTTCGGCAGTCTCTCCTCCACAGACATGTTCTTGGAGTTAGACCGCCGCCGCTTAGACAGCGAGTGCCTCGTCGCCCACTTTTGCGCAAACCGGAAGGACGGCCGGAATGCCTTTGCTCGTGGATCTTGCGGGTACCTTTCCATGATAAGCTTTTGAAAGTTACCGTGATCCACCTTGTCGAGACCCGCAGCTTCCTCTTGCGTCGTGCCAGCAACATCTTGTACAGCTCCTTCTCCGCGTCAGGGAACCACAGCCGCCGTCGAGTGCATGTCGCCATCAGACTACTCCGCACCTTGTCAGCTGCCTGCTGCACGCGAGAGTCTTCATCCTTCTGCCATTTGCTGATATTGCTGGCCGAGATCCCTGACTAATGTTACAAGTAAAAGAGAGGGGTCATACCCATGTGCGCACGAACCTCCGTTGACCGCGACTCTAGATCTCGCAGCTCCTGAATAACATCGACCTTCTCGCGCGAGGTGTTCCGTTTCCTCGAGGCTGCTCCACACGTTTTCTTTGGTGGCGACTCCGTTAGTGAAAAGCCGTCGTTCACGAGGTTGTTGGTCCTCTCGACTCCAGGGCGTAAAGGCTGCAGCACAAACGTCACGGGCCCTGGCGGACATGTCGCGCCGCATCCGCGACTGTCTCCATGGCGAAACGCAACGTGTCAGAATTGTCCTGAAGGTGTTGTATATGTCCGCGACTTGGAAGGGAGAGACTGAATATNGTCTCCATGGCGAAACGCAACGTGTCAGAATTGTCCTGAAGGTGTTGTATATGTCCGCGACTTGGAAGGGAGAGACTGAATATCGCTTGTATTAGAAACGCAGAAGCAAGAGAAGAGAAGAAGA